TACAATATTTATCCTTTTAAATTTTCTCTTAACAACTACGATCTTGAAGTTCTATTGAAAAGAGTTTAAAAGTTTTAATTACCGTTAGGTATGAAGGAGAGTTAATAAGTTCAACGTATTGTTTGTGCAAATTGTTGTGATAACTCAGGCTGACCAGATAATCTAGTCTGAATAAAATCATATATTGGTGAGTGAAAGAAAATGTTCAAATTGTTTTATAATATTTACTGATCGTATATCAAAACATATCGTGTTGTTTCTTTCGTTTTTGACTGATATGTTTATAATATAATGATCAATAAGTTTTGTAAGAAATGTGATCGCTGTTACATAATATATAAATAGAGTAGTCAGGAGGTAAATGTGTTTACTTTAGATATGCATTGCACTGAAATTACTTATTCATCGAGAATGCACAGATAAAACTTCACAATATTATTTTGCTTGTCTCCATGGTAAGTGTAATATATAACATATCACCATTTAAAAAATAACTACAATAAAAACATTAAATCTTGCTATTCTGAAAGTTCAATTTCATTCTTTTTATCCTTCTTTCCATTTCTTAGGTTATATCAGCAAACAACTCTCCATGCTATTCCCAATGCCCATTGGTTGTTTGCTTATTTGGCGAAATCTGTCGGCTTTTCGTCTTATTTATTCATTGACTGGCTGGTATCTCCTGAAACTACCTGTTTATCTTACTTAGTTCACTACTTGAGAAAATTGAGCACTGATGATGAGCTTATTTGCAATCCAAATCAGTTCGTTAGAAGTGCAGTAATAATACATTCTTGGCCATTACAATCGCTTATAAACATGTTAAGTCAAATTTCGAAAAGTCTCAAAACCTTGAATCAATACAAAGGCATCGCATTTTGCCCTACGCCGCTTATCAATCGCATTAATCGTTCTTTGTCTGTTTTGAATAACTTATGCCGTGTTATGACACAATGTTAATTTATCACAAATATTACGCATAAATCTTATGCATAAAGCCTTCTAATGACTTATTGCTACCCTTTCATTTGGTTCTGTAGCCTGATGAATTCAGTTAGGCTGTTACGATTGAGATATTCGGGCCCCAAATAATATCCTATAGAATAGAGGTAGATGCATTATTTGGTCGTTAAATGGTTATGAAACAAAACGAACAGTGTTAACGAACCATACAGTTTAGCTGTTTATTATTGGGGGTTTTCAAGTATAGCTACTGAATGTTCGCGTCACATCTTCACTAGGACATTGGACAGGAGAAATCCTACTAAGCGTTAGATACAAACTGAATCTCATAAACTTGTCATCTGTAGGCGTTAGAAGAATTAGTACTGGCATCTTGAAGTTCTTGGTTGCATATCTTTTTAAGATGAATTATTAGTTTTAAAAACTCAAATTCATTTGTGAGATTTAATTAGTAAATCTACCATCTGCAACACAGCTTGTATTCCGTCGTGAACAGCCCTGATATTACATTCCCAAAAGTTAATTTGTGTTTAAGACCTAAGAAGCACTCTCAGTTTTCATGCTTAGACTGAGAACTAGTCATATCATTCTTCCTTTGGTAAGAGGCACTCAGCTCGGTGGCAAACGAAACATGAAAAACCAACTAAGTTGGTCGTTTATACCATCAACATTGTTAATTGGGATTATGCTTTGGTCACATAGTTTGCTGGTAAATATCGATCAACTAGATACCCAAGTTTGGAACTTGAATAAATTTAACAATACAAATTTAGAAAAGTTATTCAAGCTTTATTGGGTAACAAATTACTAAGACATGCGAATTTTGAGGTAGGTGGATTATCCAAATTAATAAAGCCTCAACCTAAACAAAAAATCGCTGGATCCATGAAATGTTTTATTACGGCCATTCTTTTGTAACCTACAAAGCATTGTCTAGTGTTAGTCGGTGTATTCAAAGATAGCATATTTCATGATTATTTTGGTTGAAAAATGCTTACAACTGAATTACCATGTATTGTTCATCCAATGCTTTTAGAACAGAACTATTGAACCAGAAACCTTTTCATCTTCGCAGACAGTTAGGACCGGATACTAACTTATCCTTCATACTAGCAGTGAATAGTGAACTGCTGAGAAGCAATTAGCTCCCAGCTGAGCTGTCCGTCAGAGCGTCCCAGTCTTCTAGTTTGAGAGTAGATCACTGTTTTATCTTCTATAACGACACTCCCACTAAATGTCGACTTATTTAACCTGTTTCCATGGTTAGTCTATATAGCTACTCTTTCTTCGTATTTCGTTTCGTTGCCATCATTTCTACCAGTCATTTGATAGACTTTTGAGTTGCCTTCGTTTTCCACCGTACTCGCACCTCCTTGTGATGAGTCCTGAAGCTTTCTTTGATTCAGTAGACTATTGAGATCCACTGATCTATCTTAGGTTGATCATGAGTATTATTAGTTTTACAGCTACATCAAAACGGACATTCTCAACGCTCCATCGAGATTACTTAGTCGGTTATACATCAATCGGATTTACATCTTCGTGCTGGGCTCGAAAAGGTTATCGTGTAACTGTCCAATACCTAGTAACGACCAGATGTACGGGTGCTCAGATCAGATAGTGACCGAAATTTAGACGTGGTCAAGAATAATCTGGGTTTTTATACCTGGCGGTCCCACTGATAGTGATACAGTTTATACGTTTTCCATCAGTGTCGGAGTTGCTAAATCAATGAGTGTTTTTTACGATTGAATCTGGTACTCACCGGAAATTGCCGTTCATTTCAGGGAGACGACCGTCTTCTGATTGTTGAACTAGAATTTAAATACCTCGACGTAGGTATTAGTTTCCTTGGCTTCGCCTACCTACTTAGCAATAAAAATCGCTAACTGGCTATATTTGAGCCCCTAGTTTTTAGAAAAGGATTTGTAGCGGTCAATAAACCCTCAGAATAAATAGCTCTGCGAGTCTTCATTACAGATTCTGACATCGTTAGTTTTACTGGACACATCCTTGTCGAAGGCGCTCATCCTGACCAGATCACGAGTGGGTACACCATACTACGCATCTCTTGCAACTACTAGCCAACTTAGACCAAACGATTCTCAACACATCGATAACCATCTACACATATATTCGGACTCATCTACTCCTGACTTCTGTTTTGACTAGGTTGGTAGCCTTTGATTAAAAAGGTTACAGACGATGGCGATATCAAACCTTGAATATCTGTGGCATATTTATGTTGTACTATCGGCTTGACTATAACTAGTAAGAGCTGACAGGTGGTGATACGTGATTTTATGCTTCCGAGTCCTTGGAGTACTTTGTCGGACAATGCACAATGGGCTACCGGCTGAAACATCTGGTTAAGGACCATTGGTTCTACTTTAGAGTGAAAATCTAGAGTTACACGTGCAAAGAATAAACGGGATTTTCAGCAAGCCTTCAGACTCCTGAACATTGAGTTGCACTGATTTCCCGGACTTCCTACTATAAGGTAGGTAAGTGACGAGGCTTGGGTTTTGTAAGTCATAAAGAACTAGTTTACAAATATCCGGATGTATTTTCATATGCTATCTGATGACTTTATACACAGCAAACTTGAATCCCATGAGATGTTACTTAACGGAAGCACAAGAGATCCCCTGTATATGTGCCGTGACATAATGTCATCTAGATGAACTGGTTAGCTTACGAAATAATGTTGCCTGCGACTAAAAACAATGAGTCGATAAAGAATCCTGTAGTATTTGCACTGTCTGACGATTCTTATGTACTTAATTGCGTGCTTATCATGAATTCTAAGCGCAACACGATCAGTCGTACTCATCTAGTTCCACCTGTCCCAAACTGGAATATTCTGAGAATTCCCAGTTAATGAATCAATTAGTGTTTATAATTATCACTATTTCTTGAGGTTTAATCTAAGAAGCAAAGACATCCTGGTTTCCGCAGTCAATCGGCGTCTTTAGAATGCTGCGTTCCGTTTGGCAGGATCTTGTTGTCTGAACCCAATAATAAGATACTCAAATAAAACCCAAAAGCCTGAGATCTACATGATAGTTTGGGATTTCTTTTGTAGGTCTTTTCCAGGCAACGGACAATAACAAGTTCCGTAACCTACTGTCCTCGATTTAACTTCATCAATGCCATCTCACCAGTTTCAGATGCTCATGATCTCACTATATCAGGTATTACGATGTATTTGTTTAGCCCATTTAGGCGGATGTCAATGCAATAATACTGTAGGACAGAAAAAACCTTCAAGCTTTTTACTTGCTTATTATTATTATGGTTAACGAGAATCAAAGAAGCGATACCGATTTGTTCAAACCTCACGCTACACATCGGATATCCTGTGATGGAATGTCATGCAGAGGCTACAGCTAGAAACATGAAACTCAGTCTTCATAGTTACGACATCAAGTTAACGGTGTATGAATTGTAGCATTCCGTCTGCACTCCTTGTCTATCTTTGACAGCACATATGGAATAGACATGATTGCGCTAATAAATCAGTCAGCTAGAGTCCCATCGTTCGCATCATAGGTATGATAGGACGTATAAATTAACCGGTGATCACAGACGACGCTAGTTAGTGACTACTAATCAGGTTGATTTAGTCCTGAAACTTAATACTAAGGAGTCGAAAACCCCAGAATAAAACTTAGATATGCCTGAGGCATTAGACGCATAAAGTATTTATGAATACCCGATAAAAAAACAAAAGCTGGAGAACGGACATTGTATTAACCAAGTTTACAATCAGATATCGAAATATGAAGTGTAACGTTAGTCACGTATAAGACATTTGATTTTTTGCATTAAAACATTAACAAGTTTAAAAAGAAAATGGAAAAATGCAAGCGACGAATAGGCCGAAATTCACTTGTCTATTATTGCGGAAATCTAGTCACATGGTCATATCAAATATACACAACAGATTTTGCGAAACCAAGAAACATGTGAAGTAGGAAGAAAAAGGCCAATCGCCGTTGTCTCACAGCACTTTGAATGAAAATGCAAAAGACTTATTAATTCTTGCCGCCTAAATTTTGACAGAGCCAATCCAAACCCTCAAATAAACCAGAACTGTTTGTGGCACATGTTCCTTGAATATACCACGTGCGGTTCCGTAATTGATGTAGTCCTAATTTATCTGTAAGCTCAGTAGGCTTTAAAGCATTTGGTAGATCCTAAAAATTACTGTAATTTTTGAGAATGTAAATCGTACTTGTTTGTTTGCAAAGACCAAAAGAAGTGTATCTCGTAACTCATCCTCTTGTAACATACGGAACAACTCGTCTTTTGCTTCCCCAATGCGATCAGTGTCATTACTGTCAACTACGAATATTAAACCTATGGAATGTGAGCGCCAACTTCAATAATTTTACCTTGAGTGTTTTGGAAATAATGTCTCCATAAAGGACGTATTTTATCTTGACCACCGACATCCCACACCGTAAAACTAATGTTTCTATATTCCACTGTTTCAACATTGAATCCAATTGTAGGGATAGTTGTAACAACTTCCCCAAGTTTTAACCTGTACAATATTGTTGTCTTGCCAGCAGCATCCAGACCAACCATCAGGATACGAACTTCCTTTTTGCCGAACAGACGACTGAACAAATTTGAAAATATCCCACCCATATTAACTGAAGATGATCCCTAGAGTGTTACGACCTAAGTGCCCTACGTCACTGGGGATTGAAATAGCCACACTACTTTTTGTATGGAAGTACCAGCCAAACAAAGTAGTCTAACAAAGTTATTTCAAATAACAAAATGGTGGTTGGCGAAATCCTCATATCCTCATAATTATTTAATTGTAAATGTTTTAATAAGAGAAATTTTATTACTTTATCCCATAAAACAACCTCAAAGTTAATGCGCAACCCTGAATCATAATTTTCAAGTGGATATAGTTACAAAACTGATTTCTTGATACATGCTACCCCACCTATCAGTCGAAATATTAGTGTAAGCTTGATTACCTTTATCTCGTTCAAAGTATGCAACTCTACTCTTTGCAAGGCTAGATATTATCACAGTGGAGTTAAGTATTCAAATTATTAAACATGTCATCAAGCTAATGTATAATTAGTCATCTTGTCCTGAATAATTTTCCGCTTAAAAGGTTCTCGAGACAACTGTCTGCAAACAGTATTGGTTGGAGTTGATGTCACGTTGTGCTTACATTCTACATAACTATAAACTTTCTATCATCAGGATGAAACCATATTATCTACAGTTATTTCATGATTCATTTTGTAAGCATACTGTCTTGCTTGGATGAGGCACAAAATATTCAGTGCCAGTTCATATAGCCCTTGAAAATACACATGGGTAGCTTAGTGTTTAGTTTTCAAATTACATACATACCACTCTAGTTAGTATACTCGCTATCTGTTACGAGACTCCTCAGACACATAAGTCGTCTCTCTGCATATATTTCAGTTCTCTAAGCAACTCATAACCCCCTGGCATGGTAATCGCAATACACGAATCCTGATATAATAACCTTTATACCTACATAAAAGGAATTCGGATTCATAAATGAGACGTAAAACCAGCCTTTCAACTGATTACGATACTGAAACGAATTTCCCCGACAAATTACAATTGAATAAGGCTTCTACTTACATACTTCTGATATCTTAAGTGTAAGTATAGCAGCTCAGGCAGGCCGAACGGGGCTCGTTCTTCTTAAAAACCCAAGGAAATTTATCAAAATCTATCTAAAATCTAGTCTTGCGGAGCTTGCGACACTTTTGCACTTATTGCTCATGTCGTAGTGTGTAGCGGTTACAATCAAACCTCATGAGATTAGAAAGTTATTGTACGGCATATACTCGAATGTAATTGCTCTTTGGGGAATTCCACAGAGCTTATTATCTCATTGAAAAGGAGGACCACGAATGAATGTCCTGGCTAAATAAACATTATCGGACTGACACGAACTAATTGTAGAATCTTAAGGATATTCTTCCAAAGCTCATCTATTGATACAATACAAATAATCACTTCATGTCATCTTAATCATACCTTTTCTTGATTAGGCAGCTTGACTCCAAAATTAGTTAAAACAATCCCCTGTACTTGCGAAAGAACTTATTCGAAAACAACCTCAACATCATATTCTCTTACGTGGTCCCTTGAAGGCTGTTCAGTGAAAATCAATCGAAAATCTCGCACTAGAACGAAAACCCAACTGTGAGTGCCAGAAACATCTGCATCTGAATCCTGTTCAGTACAGAAGGATTAGGGAAATATGCTCTTGACTTGTCAAATCACTAATAACCTCCTTAGCTTAACAGATTAAAAATTCATGTTTGCACCAAACTGTACACCGAAAAATATCCAATTACGATAAAACATGAAGGAGCCCAAACAGAAATCCTTGTAAGCGCTAAGGGTATTAGAATCAACTAACTGCAAAACTTTACCGTAGGTGAAAAATATGGAATCCTCTGAAGCTTTTTGGTGGAGTTTTGTTCTCCACCAAAATCATCCACCTGAGCTACAAATCTTCTCCACCATCTCAATCTTTTGAATCATTTATGATTCACAGGCGATTAGACTAGATACTCAGAAGGGTTATAGTTAGTATTCTTAAACGACCACAACGACCGATAATCTCTGACTTGTCGTAGGCCGCATGTTCAGCACAAGCCTAAACGTACACATGACCACATGATAAAGAACTTCACATAACAATTAAAACGCAGATCATACTCAACAAATAATTTGCCGTTTTGACAAACAAGTTTGAAAAAACAGTTTGAAGGTTAAGAAAGCTGCAGATTAAACACTATAATATCTTCAATAAGTCGAGAAAACGGTGAAAATATACCGGTAAGAAAACACTTTCAAGTAGTAAAGATCCAGGTGGCAAGAATTAGTAAGTCTTTTGCATTTTCATTCAAAGTGCTGTGAGACAACGGCGATTGGCCTTTTTCTTCCTACTTCACATGTTTCTTGGTTTCGCAAAATCTGTTGTGTATATTTGATATGACCATGTGACTAGATTTCCGCAATAATAGACAAGTGAATTTCGGCCTATTCGTCGCTTGCATTTTTCCATTTTCTTTTTAAACTTGTTAATGTTTTAATGCAAAAAATCAAATGTCTTATACGTGACTAACGTTACACTTCATATTTCGATATCTGATTGTAAACTTGGTTAATACAATGTCCGTTCTCCAGCTTTTGTTTTTTTATCGGGTATTCATAAATACTTTATGCGTCTAATGCCTCAGGCATATCTAAGTTTTATTCTGGGGTTTTCGACTCCTTAGTATTAAGTTTCAGGACTAAATCAACCTGATTAGTAGTCACTAACTAGCGTCGTCTGTGATCACCGGTTAATTTATACGTCCTATCATACCTATGATGCGAACGATGGGACTCTAGCTGACTGATTTATTAGCGCAATCATGTCTATTCCATATGTGCTGTCAAAGATAGACAAGGAGTGCAGACGGAATGCTACAATTCATACACCGTTAACTTGATGTCGTAACTATGAAGACTGAGTTTCATGTTTCTAGCTGTAGCCTCTGCATGACATTCCATCACAGGATATCCGATGTGTAGCGTGAGGTTTGAACAAATCGGTATCGCTTCTTTGATTCTCGTTAACCATAATAATAATAAGCAAGTAAAAAGCTTGAAGGTTTTTTCTGTCCTACAGTATTATTGCATTGACATCCGCCTAAATGGGCTAAACAAATACATCGTAATACCTGATATAGTGAGATCATGAGCATCTGAAACTGGTGAGATGGCATTGATGAAGTTAAATCGAGGACAGTAGGTTACGGAACTTGTTATTGTCCGTTGCCTGGAAAAGACCTACAAAAGAAATCCCAAACTATCATGTAGATCTCAGGCTTTTGGGTTTTATTTGAGTATCTTATTATTGGGTTCAGACAACAAGATCCTGCCAAACGGAACGCAGCATTCTAAAGACGCCGATTGACTGCGGAAACCAGGATGTCTTTGCTTCTTAGATTAAACCTCAAGAAATAGTGATAATTATAAACACTAATTGATTCATTAACTGGGAATTCTCAGAATATTCCAGTTTGGGACAGGTGGAACTAGATGAGTACGACTGATCGTGTTGCGCTTAGAATTCATGATAAGCACGCAATTAAGTACATAAGAATCGTCAGACAGTGCAAATACTACAGGATTCTTTATCGACTCATTGTTTTTAGTCGCAGGCAACATTATTTCGTAAGCTAACCAGTTCATCTAGATGACATTATGTCACGGCACATATACAGGGGATCTCTTGTGCTTCCGTTAAGTAACATCTCATGGGATTCAAGTTTGCTGTGTATAAAGTCATCAGATAGCATATGAAAATACATCCGGATATTTGTAAACTAGTTCTTTATGACTTACAAAACCCAAGCCTCGTCACTTACCTACCTTATAGTAGGAAGTCCGGGAAATCAGTGCAACTCAATGTTCAGGAGTCTGAAGGCTTGCTGAAAATCCCGTTTATTCTTTGCACGTGTAACTCTAGATTTTCACTCTAAAGTAGAACCAATGGTCCTTAACCAGATGTTTCAGCCGGTAGCCCATTGTGCATTGTCCGACAAAGTACTCCAAGGACTCGGAAGCATAAAATCACGTATCACCACCTGTCAGCTCTTACTAGTTATAGTCAAGCCGATAGTACAACATAAATATGCCACAGATATTCAAGGTTTGATATCGCCATCGTCTGTAACCTTTTTAATCAAAGGCTACCAACCTAGTCAAAACAGAAGTCAGGAGTAAATGAGTCCGAATATATGTGTAGATGGTTATCGATGTGTTGAGAATCGTTTGGTCTAAGTTGGCTAGTAGTTGCAAGAGATGCGTAGTATGGTGTACCCACTCGTGATCTGGTCAGGATGAGCGCCTTCGACAAGGATGTGTCCAGTAAAACTAACGATGTCAGAATCTGTAATGAAGACTCGCAGAGCTATTTATTCTGAGGGTTTATTGACCGCTACAAATCCTTTTCTAAAAACTAGGGGCTCAAATATAGCCAGTTAGCGATTTTTATTGCTAAGTAGGTAGGCGAAGCCAAGGAAACTAATACCTACGTCGAGGTATTTAAATTCTAGTTCAACAATCAGAAGACGGTCGTCTCCCTGAAATGAACGGCAATTTCCGGTGAGTACCAGATTCAATCGTAAAAAACACTCATTGATTTAGCAACTCCGACACTGATGGAAAACGTATAAACTGTATCACTATCAGTGGGACCGCCAGGTATAAAAACCCAGATTATTCTTGACCACGTCTAAATTTCGGTCACTATCTGATCTGAGCACCCGTACATCTGGTCGTTACTAGGTATTGGACAGTTACACGATAACCTTTTCGAGCCCAGCACGAAGATGTAAATCCGATTGATGTATAACCGACTAAGTAATCTCGATGGAGCGTTGAGAATGTCCGTTTTGATGTAGCTGTAAAACTAATAATACTCATGATCAACCTAAGATAGATCAGTGGATCTCAATAGTCTACTGAATCAAAGAAAGCTTCAGGACTCATCACAAGGAGGTGCGAGTACGGTGGAAAACGAAGGCAACTCAAAAGTCTATCAAATGACTGGTAGAAATGATGGCAACGAAACGAAATAC